GTCAGATGCGAAAGTTCTCTAAATCAATGCTGCTTTAATTTTGTCGTACGGGTCGTTCTCAGGTACTTGGGCAATAAGATCTCCCACTTGTGCATCTATGTCTATCGGAAGTGAGCTAACAACATACGCGTATTTCGTAGTTTGTGCGCGTATGTTTTTGGCTGTGAACAAAGCTTCAATTTGGCAGAACCACATCCTAGGATTGCTAATACCAAATGCGGGAAGCTTAAAATCTGAGATAGCATTAATGGAACTTAGAACCTTATCATCGGATTGTGGTGTGGCTTTATTCACAGCCAAAAACATAAGCGCACAAACTACGAAATACGCGTATGTTGTTAGCTCACTTCCGATAGACATAGCTGCACAAGTGGGAGATCTTATTGCCCAAGTGCCTGAGAACGACCCGTATGATAAAATTAAAGCCGCTTTAATTCAGAGAACTTCAGCATCCGACGAAAAAAAGTTACAACAGTTGTTAACGTCCTGTGAGTTGGGAGATAAAAAGCCATCCCAATTATTAAGGTACATGAAAGAGCTGTCCGGACCTTATAACTTTGGCGAGAACTTACTCAAGCAACTTTGGTTCCAACGGCTACCTCACAACGTAAGACAGATTCTTACGATAACCATTAACTCAGCTAACCTAACCGATTTAGCCGACATGGCCGACAAAATAACGGAAATCTATCCAGACAGCCAAGTAGTTAACTCTGTACAAACCGGCAGTATATATAATATGTGTAATGTTCTTAGTCTTCAACAACAGATAGCACAACTTACAAATCAGATAGAAACGCTACGAGCCTCGGTAGCCATGATTATCACTAAACCAACTGCACCTTTCTCTAGAAGAAGGTCATGCTCCCGACACCGCTCTAAGTCTCCAAAAAGGTCAACTGGTGTTTGTTGGTATCACCAGAAGTTTGGTGAGAAAGCTCGACGCTGCACAAAACCGTGCACCTTCTCTGCAAATAGTCAAGAGACACAGGGAAACTGGTCTGCCAGACAGTGATGGCGGCGACTGCTTCTGGCCACGCTGCAAGCCGTCTTTTTCACATCTGGGACAGGATTTCGGCTCCTGTATCGACTAAGAAGTCTGATAAAGCTGGGAAAACGGATGTAGTTAGCGTCGACCAAGTCAAACCAGCTTTTATTGAAAGTGACGAACAGCTAATGAGTACGAATCCTTCGAAAGCCATCGAAACACTGAAATGCAAGTTACAACCATCAGCGACATAAACGCAAAAAAGTGAAGAAAGTCCATGACTGACTAGATATGGTCGAAGGGTCAGGTGGCCAGAAAGATATATAGCTACCATTTTGAATTGAAAGTTCTTTCGCCATTTCGAATATATTTTTTTTCTTCGCTTCGCATTTGTACGTCGAGAATTTTCGTGTATTTCGATTTTTTTGATTTTTTGTTATTATTCAAGCTCACAAATACACACGATCTCAAACTTACGCAAACAACATAACCTTGTTTTTAGCAAAATTTTGATATTTTCGAATGATTTTTTTTAGCAAACACAGACACTCTTGTATCCTTGTTTACTGGGAGGGAGCTATTGTAGCACCTCACGTATGTCTTGTACTTTTATCATTGTTGAGCTTGTATGCGCATGTACGCTTGGGCATTACTTGCCACCTACACATATAGTTATTTGACTAGCTGTATCGATTAACAGTTTGAATATAGTATTTCAACTCGTTTTTTAAACTTTTAACAGGGTTTTTTAAAATAACCAAAAAATTTTTTAAAATTTTCACAGCGTTTTTTAAAATTTTTTGTAATCCTTAGAATGTCAGAAATTAATAGAAAAAACAACTTGATTTCGAATGAAAAAAGAAAAAGCCTTATAATAAAAGTTATTGAAGATGGATACAGCGTCAAGGATGCGGCATTTCTTACAGATGTAAACTATCAGGCCGCTACAAATATTATAAGGTTGTATAAAAAGGAATCGCGAGTTGAGAAGAAAAAAACAGGAAAACCATCAAATAAGAAGATATGCGGTGATATTATCAATTTTGTTGAAGAATTGATAGAATTAAACCCGTTAAAACGATGGTAGAAATTCGAGAAAAAATAGAAAACATATTTTCTATAGGCCTTTCTCTTGAATCTATAAGAAGGATATGCAAGAATGATAATTTATAGACTTCAGATTACTTTGAAAAAGATTTCTTATACATCGGTCAATATAAATTCGGAATCCAGTAAAAACGAACGCCAAATTTATGCTCAAAATTTTATGAACATTGCAGATACATTTATAAAAGTTTTTATAGATGAATCTTTTAATTTGTACTAAAGAAAAAGAAGTCTATAAATTATCCTTCTTATAGATTCAAGAGAAAGGCCTATAGAAAATATGTTTTCTATTTTTTCTCGAATTTCTACCATCGTTTTAACGGGTTTAATTCTATCAATTCTTCAACAAAATTGATAATATCACCGCATATCTTCTTATTTGATGGTTTTCCTGTTTTTTTCTTCTCAACTCGCGATTCCTTTTTATACAACCTTATAATATTTGTAGCGGCCTGATAGTTTACATCTGTAAGAAATGCCGCATCCTTGACGCTGTATCCATCTTCAATAACTTTTATTATAAGGCTTTTTCTTTTTTCATTCGAAATCAAGTTGTTTTTTCTATTAATTTCTGACATTCTAAGGATTACAAAAAATTTTAAAAAACGCTGTGAAAATTTTAAAAAATTTTTTGGTTATTTTAAAAAACCCTGTTAAAAGTTTAAAAAACGAGTTGAAATACTATAATAAAGGTGAAATGAAAATACGATAATAGTATTCAGCAAACGTAATTAATGTCCACAGTAATAAATCGAATGGAGACGGAGACGTATTCCTTTGAAGTCTTAGGAAACGGCGTTGTGTTCTTTCAACGGGCTCACCAATTTATCGTGGCGTTAGACATTCGTTATATTCGATTTCCCGTATATCTCCGTCTTGATGATCGCTACGAGAGAACACGAGTCGCTGCCACAATTTCTTTATTATTCAGATTATTTAATGATCGATACAAATATCGGATTTAATTCAAATATGTGTAGTCGATATTGACATCGAATTATTCAAGCTGTTTGCCTTCTTCTTACTTTCAAACACTTAACATTAGAACACACTTTACATTGTATGGAGTTTCAGCTTAAGCGATAGAATCCGAGCAGCGTTAAAGCTTGAACATATGTTGAAGATGGATAGTTTGATCTAATAAAAATATTGTGATTTTTGTCTACTGAGTAATCAGTTTGTTCTATTTGAATAAAATTTCACTATAGTTTTCAGTAAAGTATCACAGTTTTAGTCGTTTATAGTTTATGGTTTTCAACTCACTATCATTCATGAATTATTGTTTTTTACATTTTTTAACGGTCATTCCAATTGTTTTTTTTTACATTATTACTATTATTATTAATATTGTTATTATTATTATTATTATTATTATTCATAGTATGGGTATTTTATTTTCACTACTTTCGATGCTGACACATGCTCACATAAATAAATAAGTGCAAATTTACAATACATAAAATTGGTAATTTTGTTCCAAACTAAAATCGAATGGTTTTTTTATACAGTGTTTAAACAAACCAAACATTTCCCAGAACAAAAAAAATGCAACTAGAAGTTACTGTTTCAGTCTATTCACTCAACCCACCTATATCTCACTCATCCAAGCTTTTGAACACATTCAGAATTCTACACTATTCTTCAATCGAAAAAAAAGCATAAAATTATCATGATTAAATCAGATGTCAATTTTTTTGTTTCTTCTATTTTATAAAATTTAATATTTTGCACTAAAAGTTAGATCATTTTCAGTTCATATGAAAACAATTATGGACAAGGATACTTTTTTTTACCAAATATTAATTATCAGTTGTTATAATCTATTATATGTGAATGACAAACTGATTTGGAATTTTAACACAATTCATTGAACTGTAATTATCATGTTTTTCAATTACGTTATCTAGTCGATCATGTACTATAATGCATTAGAGTGTTTGTTACTCATTAATCAAGTAGACGTTAATGTACTGTACATTAAAGTACATTTTATTCGAAGGTTAGTCGTGCTGTAATGAATGAAGAAGATAGGATGGATGAAAAAGACACAATTTACTGGCTAACATCTGAACATCTTATCTTCATACACCTTTTTGCAAAACTAGCATATTCTTGGCTCTCATCTCCCGCATATCATTTTATTCTTCAAAACACTGATCATGCCATATATCCCGATCTGACAATTCTTTTTAACAGCAACTTCCGCTGCATACTACTACTAAGCCACTTTGTGAATAGTATACACCGCAATACCACCTGGCTTCATAAATCCAAATGGATGAAGTGGGAGTTAGAACTCGCAACTTGTTTTTATTTTTTGAAAGCCAAATGCTATAATTACTACTAAGTCACTATTTCACTGAGTATCAAATGGTATTTCCTCATTCCAATTTAAAATTAATTTACGCAAGCAAACAATCAATCGTCCATATCTTTAATTTCACTGCTTGAGTTATTATATAAAACTGTAGACTTTAAATCATACATACTGAAGCAAATTGTTAACATTATTATCGTTATAGTTAGCCACTAATCAAACCAAACTGAATCCTAAAATTTTAACCCAATAGTGTTCGGAATTTCAGAAATGCTAGCTAACTGGCAGATGATATGTAAAACAGAATAAAATGTTATGACATTAGATTACTTATTAGTTATCAAGTGAACACTAGTCCAACTAAAAAAGTGGTCACAAAAAAATTGCCATTAAAACACTTGGCATTTCATCGTTTTCTCTAATCGAAAAAAACATCAAGTGACATATCATTTGTGATTATTATTATTATTATTATTATTATTATTATTATTTAATTTATTGTAAACAATTCAATTTACTGACAAAAACAAAACTTCATGGACTTGTTTTATATAATCTATCGATTTCATTTTTACATTAAAAAATTAGTTCAAATCTGACTTACCTCGTCAGCATGTATTAGATACTGATAATGAATTAAGACGTTGGCGTGATCAACTCACTCAAATTGAAGCGAAAATCAATGGTTTATTTAGTCAAGTACAACATTTACGCACTGGACGATTTGTGCAAACAGAACAAATTTATCGAAAGTAAGTTGTTGCCATATTATTTTTCTATTCACTGGATTGATTGATTTTATTTTAAAATATATTTTCATTTTTTCGACAATTAAGTTCAGTGTTTGAAATTACTTTTAGAACAACACATGAACAATATTGTTTTCGATTAGATCGTCATCAGGCTTTACTCTAATAGACATGAATATTTATATGAAAATGTTAAACCAATCAATCCAGTTTGAGTCATAATCACAATGAAATGAAAAAGATTATTACGTCACTACATATAATAGGCAAAAGTACAAGTGGATAGTAAGAAGACAGGTGTATTGATAGTAGTAAGAAAATTATAAAATATGATAACTAAAGTTTTATCAATAGTAGGTCAAACGTGGATGAATAGACTTCAAATAATCATTACAAAACATCAAAACCATTACGTAATAAGCAAATGTGTAAAAATAAAAATAAAATAGAAAATATAATGTCAATCGTTAGTTACGTCATATCCAGCCAGGGAAGAGATAAGGCTGTCACGAATTTCTTCTGAACACACATAAAGTGGGGTTGAATGTACGTATTCCTATGGCTTCTGCAATGTGTAGGAGACGGGATCGAACTCCGTTGGGAAATGATGGAGGTATACGATAGGTCACCCGAAAAGATCTGGATTTATCTACAATGTGAACACTATCTACCAGGTGCGCTAAGATAGAACTGAGTATTGTTTTAGACTGATCCTTCGTAAACCATGCTGGAAGATGTTCACTCATTCGTTGTGTAAGTTGCCTGGAAGTATGTCCGATATAGCTGTCTCCACAGGAGCAGCTGAATTTGTAAATGCACATAGAGGAGGCCAACTCAGGTAACTTGTCCTTCGTTTGGGTAGACATCGCTGATCGACTGGAGAATGTCAATGCAAGTTTGGCAGCGTTGAATGTTCTATTAATTACTCTTATTAATCTGTCCTGCACAGTATCGCAGGCCACATCTCCGTTGATTTGTAACTTCATAAATAAAGGCTTCTTTTGGGCGGTCGAAATTACTGACTTCTTTTTTTTACGGCAAACATATAATCTTTATTCTGCTTAGTATCGGCTAATCATTGAATGATAATGCATTGAACAGTGTATACATTTCTTATGTATGTAATTTGACGACTATGATTTTATAGTTTTTTTTAGTTTTGCTTTAAATGAAAGTTGCTTATTGATTACCGCTTTATTGTTTTATATGGTCATAAATAATGTCAAACTGTCAACTCTTCACAATCGACTAATAGAAACACAATTTTTTTAAACATAAATATTAATTTTATCTTGATCTTTTATTGATGATAGCTTAGCGTTTAAACTACTTATTTTTCTATCATGATTTAATGATTTGAATTGTTATGTGTAAACAGTTAATGAGTAGTAATATCACTAGGTTTCTCTTAAAAGTGTGATTTTTATGCGGTGATTATTTGAAATTGTACTTTCGATGTATTATATTAAACTAAACTTTTATTGGGTCTTTATTAAATTGTGCACATTTGAAAGATATGAATTAAGTGACATAAATTTGCATTTCATGTTTGTTTGTATAAATAAATTAAGGCTTAGAAAAACTCGTTTATACTATGTTAAGCTACCTTGTTCACTGTAGCATGTAGACAAGTGGATTGTTAACGGATTGTGTATACTGGTCTATAACCGATTATTACTGAATGTAATGCATGGAAGCAGAATATTTATACAATGAGACGTTGCACACATACCTTCTGATGAATTCCGGAGATTTTTAAAACTTTGTGTCGATCGATTTCAACCTGTCAAAATCTAAAAAAAGTACAATGACTGTAAATTTCTTGTCCATCTGGAAGATTTCGGTCTATGATGAGAACACCAAAAGTACCTTAGTACTATGAGCTATCTTACTGATGTTGTGAGGTGTTATTAACTATCTATGAAGTCATTAAGGGACTTAATTGACTAGATTGACTGAGATATTAGGTAGGCTCTGGGAACTAAACGTAGTCCCATCTGACTGGTCTCAATCACTAGTTGTATTGGCTTATAAAAATGGACAAAAGTCCTCTTATGATAATAAAAGAGGAGTGAGGTTGGCTTATATATTGTCTAAAATATTAGCCTCGATAATACTTTGACGCTTAACTAAGCTCGTGAAGAGCAGACTTGAGAAAACCAGGTTGATTTCAGACCTGGACGTGGTTGTATAGACCATATACTCACACTTCGTCTGTTCCTATAACAGAGAACTACGACAATAGTTATACGCCTTGACCTTAAGGTGGCATTTGACTCTGTAGATCGTTAGGTTATGTGACAATGTCTGGCTTTGAAGGGATTTCTGTAGATGTACATTTAGCTTGTTGAAGCTCTGTACTCTTTGCATCCTGTATTTATTTCCAGTTTATGAGGAGAAATATTATTTTACAATTTAAGAACTCTGAATCGGAAAGAATATTGTGTTATTTCAAATTTTTTAAATGAAGTGCAATGCAAGTTATTCGGAACTGTTGTGATGGCAACTATTTTAAATTATTTATTTTTGAATAGGCTTTTATGTTGAAGGTTTTGTTCAGTTGGAAATTAATGTTCATCATATACTGATATCAGCGACAAATTGTCAATAGGCTGATCCTGTTATATTTTCTATACGATTCTAGTGGTTCCACATGTTCCACTATCATTGGTGGGTGGGTAGTTGAGTTACACTTTAATAAAACAATCTGATTTGAAACTAAGTAGAAAAACTTGTAAACGAGCATTTTTGCATTGAGTTTAACTTTCGATTAAGTTAACTTCTCGCTATATGATCTCTTATTCTTCGTATTAAATGTTTTTAATTTCACGACTTTTAAAAAAAATATTTATTCCTTTTCAGTGTGTGTACATTACACCAGAAATTTTTAGATCTTCAACGTGTGTATCGAGAATTTACACATTCTTCAACAGCATTATCGTCACCTAATGTTATGTCTAGTTCTGTATGTTCAACATCTATGACTATGTCGAATCATCCTATATTCACATCTCTTAAAAACGATATTGTTTTAGAGAATGCTCATCTTATTCAAGGTAGCTTAATTAGTCCAATAGAACAATGCTTACAATGGATTATGGAACATTCTCAAATTCTACAAAATTCATCTTATGGAACAAATCGAAAATGTAAGAATGTTTTTTGTTCTTTTTCACACTATTTCTTTGCGGTATTGTTAGTTAAAAATAATTAAAATTTATAGCGAGAGAGAGATTAAATAACATATTTTTTATATTTGTTATTGCATCATATTCTAATTATCTAAGAATAGTTGTGTTACAGTGTGTATTGTGATTCCGTTTACAGTTTTTCATTTTTATTCATCAATGGGTTGTAAGACATAAAAAATCTATATGAAAGTTTCTTTAGATATAATTACACAAGGACTTGCTAGTTTTTATACATTTATATGGGAATTACTCTCACTATTGTAATTAATTCATTATTCAACCATTGTATGTTCATTTCTCTGAACTTGGTCTACCCTGTGTGATGGGCCAGATTTGGTGATATATACTACACTTTATTGAGAACACCTTGCACAGTCCCACAGTTCATCTATTCTATCAGTCCATCCTATCTTACTGATTGCAATACCAGGATGCGATTCCATTTAGCTTTGTTAATCTTCATTACAGATGAATCACAAACTAGATCAGTTTTGTTACCAGTTTCAATTATAAGCTTGTATATAAAGCGGACAGGATTTCCTACCTTATGATTCTAACAACTGTTCTAGGCATTTTTGTTATATTTCTCACTAGCCTCTACTGCATAACTTAGTTACTCCTTCCAATGTATTCATATTTAAAAATAAACTGGTGAACCCAACGAAATGTGGAAAAATAAGTCATGTGAGATTTAAGCCTACGTGAGTTTGTACACTTGACCCTCTCAGTGCTGATAAGCCTGGGTGTGTAATATTATCTTCCATGACTGCTGTTGTCAATCTGCAATCCAAAGCTGTAGTGTTTAATTTCCTCCATGTGATAGCCTGAACACTTTCCTTCTTGTACAGGAGTTTAGATGCTACCTTACTATTTATTAATTTATAGCTTCTACAGACATCCGTCCACCATACTGTACTTAAAGCCGTTTAGTGACATGTAACACTGGTTATTTCAGTAAGGACGTTAACGTTTCAGATCATACTTATTATGAAATCAATATGAACTGTGCTAAAGAAAATACACTAGGTCTGAATGTATATTTGTGTGTCTGTAAGTTGGTCTAGATTATGTTTATACAAATAGAAATAGTTGTAGTGAATCACGAGATTTGAGTGAGTTATTATTGGCTAATAATAACTATAGCTGACTGCTTAGATATCTCTGTCACATATTCAAGGAATACTAGAGCTTTAACAAGTGTTTCTTTAAAATTACGTCAATATACGCATATGGAACTACTTTATCTATTAAATTGAAAAACGGCATTAAAGACAAGTAATTTCATTGATCATGCAAAATATATCGTAAGTGGTTATTTATTACTATTCAAGCCACTATTATCATTATTGTTATAATGTTAATAATATATTTTTTTGTGAAACAATGGTTAGGGGTTCACAAACTCAATTCGAACCTCTTCTTCCGCTCAGGCATCTGTCTAGTGGGTTCTCATGCCGTCATACATGACAGTGTGTCTTCAAGTTTAGTAAAAAACCGTGTATTTGGCTAATAAATTTACATTACTCATCAATATTATTGTACTTATTTCTTTTTAGCCGTAGAAGAAGCCACTAGGCGTCATGAACAGTTTCATCGAGAAGTTTTGAACTTTAAAAACGAAATCGATCGATGCGAAGCTAATCAACAAAAAGTGAATATTTAATTTATTTTAGTTTTCTTTTTTAAATAATTTCTGTTAAGCTAAATAGGAATCATTGAGTAGACGATATGTGTTGAATAATGCAAATTAGAAGTATAACTTATTAAGTCTAACAATACGCTATCAATATGCTATATTAGTAAGAAGTTGGGGAAATAGCCTGCTTTTGAAACAGAGCTAATCGATAAATTTATCTGTCTCAGTTGTATGTGGCAAGAAAAACGAATTCGTTCATGTTTTTTTTTTGAAAAAAAACAACAACAGACGATTTAATTTCATTATGTAGATTAAACTTGTTCTAGCTTGTAAATTGACACAACCATTATTTGTCTCTTTTTGTTCATCGTTTGAAGTTATGTAATTTTATGTAACATTGTTACAGTCATTTAGTTCAATTCCTATTTTTGCTTGTTAATGTGGGGTAGAACAACTTGAATATCGATTCGTACTTCTTGCCACTTGTCACAATGTCAACTTTACTTTAAACGACGGAGTGTCCTAGTTAATTTGTCTGGGAAAAAATTTTTAAGCCTTACTTCTTGTTCCCTGTAGTAGTAATGTGATACATTTAACAATTACAAATTGTTGTTATTGATACTAACCTATACACCGTTTTGTGTCAGAGTTAACGATACTACTTTAGTTTCTAAACCGAAGTAATTGTGTCATGCGTAATAATCAAACCTATAACCTGCATAAATTGTAAGCCAAGTGCTTCGACGAAGAAGTCACTATTGTACGCTTACCTCAATCTCAATATTTGCATAGTATTATTGTTACAAATTTTCGTAAAATAAAGGCTTGTATGTTTTGATAGAAAAATATGCGTATTTTCTGTAATTTTTCCAGTTAAATTCAATTCCTAGTTAATCTTTTAAAAGCTCTTGTTGATATGCTTTACACAGGTACATTTTGCTACATTTCCGATCGATTTTTCACTTGCTCCTGTTATATCATTAATATTCCCTACCTTAATAGCTTCCGACGCGATCAAAAGAGGAAAAACAAGTTCTTAATGAATCACTTCAAATACTTCAACAAAATTATCAACAATTAATGGTAATTGCTAGTAATGTTTTCTGTTTTGTTCATTATAAAGATGATAATTATTTGTTGTTGTTGTTGTTATAATTATTCGGTTTTTAACAGTGAATCAATCCGTCTTATTTAGCAATAATAACTCTCCAATATATATACAGACAGATTTAATAAAGTAATCTAAGTGAAGTTAGTCAGTCAGTTACAACGTAAAACTTCGTGTGTACGTATGTAAGTTCCAGTTGCCATATCACATTAGCACAGAGATCCAATGGTCTATTAAAATCCTATAGTAGTAGAGGTAGTACAAGAATTGTCAGTAGTCAGATGGATTAGGGTTCGAAGATATTACTCAAAAAGCACAATTCAGTGAAATAAATTTAGAAAGAGAAAGATAGAGGTAATGAGGAATTCAAAAGATTTGAATTCGAGAGAACGCAATGAATATAAATGCACCTGCGCTATTGCAAACGATCTTGAGCCATGTCATTCATCGTCTCTAACCATCAGTTACTATTTTCTCGCAGATCCCAACCAGGTAGATAACACCTACCAATATAACGCAGTCCACTTGTCTGTGACTTCGTGGATTTGTGCCATATTTTGGTCTGACCTTTGAAACTCAAGATTTAGGAAAAAGAATAATGATTTATATATCTACACTGGTGTAATTGTGGCACGTAAAATGTACTAATGTTGATGTCGATATTAAGTAATTTGTACTTCTGCACGCAGCTCATATTATGGTCAATGACTTCATAGATTAATTTAATCGCTACTAGTTATGTCACTTCTACATCGATCAGCATTGTATATCACAAAAAACAGTGAATAAGAGTGCATAACGCATACCTTAGCTATTTAAGATTAGTAAACATTGATCACTGAAATACTATGTATTGTACTTTTATGAAAAACATTTATCTGGAATTTCTGTTTCTTAATAAGCAATAACTACTGATTGGCGCTGTTATGCTTTGTTCGATTCATGTAATTTTGTCATTGAAGTATTTCTTCTCGCATGTATATAATTCTTTAATTTTCTAATCCCTGCACATGGGATCCGAACCTGTTACCTTTGGCCTTGTGTGCAGACAGTTAACCTGTAAACCATTTAGCTGGCATCCAGTTTCAAGTAACTTTTATTATTCAGGAGTTTACCTACTTACTTATGCCTGTTAGCCTTCATACACCACGGGCTTTCGACTTGAGATTTTCCAACCAACTCTATTCTCAGCTCTGCTTTCCAGTTGTTGCCGTGTAATATTCCTCTTGATTCCTGTCTCCAGGAGGAGTTGTTCAAGAGTTTACATCTAATAGAATGTTAAACATAGTCTCTTTAGACCTCTAGTTTTCTACTTCACTTAGCTGACAGTGTGTCCAGTTTTAATTTTACTACTATCTGTCAAAGATTGACCGTGAATGAATAATGAGTCGTTGATGACATTTAGTCAACTTCAAAAGAAGACCCATACCTTTTGGATAAGAAATCATATAGCACGGTTCGAGCCTACTACTAATTAATCAAAAGCCCAATTCTCTAACTATGGAGCCATTTCCCCAGTTCATTATCAGTATTAACAATTTACTCTTAGTAGCTCATTTAAGTTAAATACCAATGTCCAAATACTAGCACATTTTCGTCACAAAACCTTACAAGGTACAAGTTTATGCTGCTGAGGAATCCTAGAATAAAACAAGATAACTGTTCATGGCTCCCTTAGATTTCGAATGGATGTGATCTTGTAAAAATCACTTAAAAATGCCTCATTTATTTTTTTTTTTGATCTAATAATTAGTTAGGATCTAATGTTTTAAACACTAAAATGGTTACTGTGACCTAGATAGATAGACCTTTGATATTGAGAAGTGATGAACATCACCATATTTAGTCATTGTACCCACTGAACTTGATCCGAATTATATACAAAAATATTTGAGGAGTTTTTACTCTGCTAACAATTGAAAACAACCTAAAACATTTAGATAAATAACTATTTTAATACTGTGATATTCTTACCAAAATATCTTATAAGAAATGAATTCATTGATCCTAACGGAGATTTCATTATCAAAAGCAATTTACAAATGAATTCATGATTCATTTTTGTAGTTTTTTTTACAAAATAAAAGTTAGCTGATTCATTTAACTGATTAGCTTAATTGTATACTCAATATCTGTATCATCAAAAGACAATCTATTGTTTTCGAATACAATAACGCAGTCGAATGAGTCACCTTGTACTCAGTTGTATATGTCGTGTTATACCAGTCTATTCGTTTATCACTGTGTTAGTTCTTAGTTTAATCTAGAAACGACTTCGTTGTTGTTGCCTTTTTGTTTCTTTATTTTCCGAAGTATTACTTGTGCCTTATTTTATTGAATCTACGAACATAAGCTGGACACCCACTTAAAACTAGGAAGCAATGGACGGCTATTTCGTTCTAATATCAGACTCTTCATTGGTGCTCATTTACGACTCCGCAACAGAGAATCAGGTTCAGGATCTTTGGTCTCGTGCGGTGACGTCTAACATCTAGAGCTCTGAGCTGGAATTCAGTGTTAAACAATTCCGACTTCAATCGATCTACGATACTGGGGGACTGTCTCTGGCAGCTACTTTCCTCACACACTAAGATAAAGCGACCGTCCACTGCTTTCAAGCTTTTAATTATTTTCCCGCCTAGATCGGTTTGTGATCCTAATAAAACTCAGTACTCTCGACAACTCCATACTGAGTTGCGTTCCCGTTAATTGTTCTGCTGATACACCCACAAACTGAAATAACAAGCCAGATCAGCAGAACAGTCTATGTTCACTTAAACAACCATTCAATTTTACCTGTAATACGTACATAATTATTCATAAAATTACGTACACCACGTGAACTAACGATATAAATTACTCCTTATACTAAGATCAAGCGATCTATTTGAATCTGTGTCCGATCAAATATTAATGATTAGCGTAAAATTTCACTTCATAAACAGCTAACCTCAGCTTGATTCGCGTTTATCCTTTTGGGTGACAAGTTTCTTCAGAGGCCGTTTATACGTTATGAGTAATGAAATAAACTAACCTGTTAAAGTAAACAACTAAGAACTTATAAGCTAATTGATTACTATATAAGCTGTGCATTAATATATATATTTGAAATATGCTTAGCAGCATAGAAAATACTTTGAAGTAGTTAAAATAATTATTGAACATCATTTGATACTGAACTATTTTCCTAGGAATTCCAATAAAACCAGTAATTAAATAATAACTTCCTCGTTGTTCCAATTTTTACTCATTTATTTTCTAAATATTACGCTTTATTACAAACATTTACCAGGAGGCGTCATCAAAACGTCGAAATTTGTCAAAATCATTGTTGGACTTCATTGAACGTGCTCATAATGAGTTAATTTGGCTAAGGGAACATGAATCAGATGAGGTGACTAGAGATTGGACTGAAATTTATCATGATGGACTAGATCATATTCGAACTGATTTTCAAGTGAGTTGTTTGCATAATTAGTTGATTTTTTATTTCACGTTAAATTTTCATATTACCTACTCACGTACTCCGGTTACCCCAAATGGGGCATAGGTTGCCGATCACCGTTCTCCAACCAACCCTGTTCTGCATCCGTCTTTCCAGTTTTTCCCAATTTTTATTCAATCTTTTCATGTCTGTCTCCGATTCTCGGCGCAGCATGTTCATTGGTCTACCTTTTTTCCTTTGACCCAGAGGCTTCTAAGCTAAGGCTTGCCTCGTTCTGCAGTTGGGTGATTTCCGAAACATGTGTCCTATCCACCTCTAATGTTTTCGCCTGATTTCTTCTCTAGGTGTATTCTGGTCTATTCTCTCCCACAGTAGGTTCTTGTTGATGGTGTCTGGCCAATGAATGAAGGGTATCTTGCGTAAGCAACTGTTAATATGTAGCACTTCACATATATTTTGTACTTTTATCATTGTTGAGCTTGTATGCGCATGTATGCTTGGGCAGTACTTACCACCTACACATATAGTTATTTGACTAGCTGTATCGATTAACAGTTGAAATAATTTGATGGCAATATCAACTATAAATATCTGAATTAATTCCGATATTCGTATCGATCATTAAATATTTTGAAAAAGAAATTGTGGCAACGACTCGTGTTCTATAGCATTGGTCATCAAGAAGGAGATAAACGGAATTTAGAAGACAAGATAGTTCAAGGCCACAAATAAACAACTGTACCTTTTGGTGATAGTCTTTGTAGCTCTCCGAATTTCGGCTCCATACAACAGATTAGTTTTAACGTTGATATTGAAAATTCTGACTTTGGTGTTGACTGATGGTTGTTTTGAGCTCCAGATGTTCTTTAATTGTAGAAATCTTGCTTTTGTTCTTCTAAGTCTGTGAGCTGTCCTCCGTGCATGAATTCGCAGTTTAATCCATCATAAGAATTCCATTTAGTGTTGACTATATTCTCAGGTACACCGTAGTGTCAAAGAAGACTCAATAATGTCATCCTGTCCTCACTAGCAATTGCTTTCTCGTAGTCAATGAAGTTGAGGTACATTAGTGATTCGCATTCGTAATGTTCTGTTGTATCGCGATCGGTCCTTACGGAATCCAGCCTACTGATCTTGAAGTTTGACGTCTACGGGACCCTTCAATCTGTTCAACAACACTCTGTTGAAGACTTTTCTTGGTTTTGAGAGAAGAGAGATTCATCTTTAGCTCTCATATTTGTTAAGATCTTTCTTTGGTATCTTGATGAGGTGTCCTTCTTTTCCAATCGGTTAGCACCTTTTCTTTCTTCCAGATCTTGCTGAACAGGGCGTGGAACATCTTTGCAATTACTACCATCTGCTTTCAATGCCTCAGCTGGTATATTGTCTGGTCCTTCTGCTTTGCATATCTTGATACGTCTGATGGCCTATGTTGATATCTTTAATTGTTGATGGGTGGTCAACATCAGTTGGGAGGTCCGTAGTTGCTGCTTCGATGTTGGGTGGGATCATTGGGGTTAGTCGATCCAAGAGTTCTTCAAAGTGCTCTTGAATGTCAGTGACTATTTTGCCTTCCTTGTTCTTGACAGAGAACTTCGTTGTTTCGTATAGTTGTCCCATGTTTCCTACTCTTTCAGCCGTTTCCGCCATCATTTCTAGATCTTCGCATATTCACGTTTGTCGTCTCTGATACTCTTTTTCACTTGCTTGTTCGCTTCTGTGTATTCAGCTTGTGCCTTGCCTTTCTCTGCTCTTGTTCGACTGATATTGATTGCTGCATTCTTGTTCCTCCTTTCATAAGTTTTATCAACAGTATTTGCAGAGATCCATTTCCTGCAATAGTGGTTCTTGCTCCTATCACTTAATGGTACAATAAAGTTATTACTTCTTTGGTCCGTTTCCGGTTGTTCTTCCTGGTAGTTTCCCGTTCATTGAGTGAATCGTGAAAGGCTTGGAACTTGTTATTGATGGCTATCTTGAATTTGTTGGGTTGGCCAGTATCCTAAAAAAGGCTTCATTTAGTTTTTGCAATGCTGTTTGCCCAGTTGTCGATTACTTCCATGGTTTTAGTTTAATCTTGGCTACTACCAAGTTATGATCTGGTGCTATGTTAGCTCTTTTCTTTGTCTTCACATCTTCCATGGTTGATATAAGCTTAATTTAGGCCTGAAATGTGATATCTAAAAGTCGGTGTGATTCACCAAAGTTATTCTAGCAGTTTTTGAACCGAATACACAAATGATTAGTTCTCTAAAGCGATTTCATCGAATTCATTGATTATTGACATTTAGAAAAAAAGCACTGTTAACTTATTGGACTCAGTTCTTGTAGTATCAATTAAACCTTTTGAACACGTTGTTCAAGACTGATGAACATGCCGTCCATATATGTAAGCGTTATTCATTTTATAGTAAATATTGAATGCACTGTCACTTGATAACATTTTCTTCATTATCTGCTAACCCCATTCTTATCCATAAGTACTCTATTATTCTTCATTCGTATTCAAAATAAACCCTTCTTAAATCTAATTTTTTTCATAAACTTCCACCACGCACAATCAATGAGTACAAAAAACCAGCATCTACAACTATTCTGCTTTTACACAACCGAAGGAGCATAATAAATAGCTTCACTTTTTAGACACCTGGACAATTAGGAACTGAAAACTACTCACACACTCAAAGCACTATATTCATTACAGCATTCACCTTCCATATTCAGTATCTTCTGACCTATCTGCATAAGAAATTTACAATACAAAACCCAGTGCATAGACGTGATTATTAACTTGCAATCGAATTTGTCATGAATAAAAAATGAATACCTATTTATGTCAATTACTTGAATGCTTTTTTACATTTTATTGACTACATTCACAAGCATGTTTGTTTAGTGAGGCAAAGCATTGATCGTTGCATTGATCGATCCATAGTACAATCAGTCTTGTGATTTGAACTAGTCTTTTATTTTCTTTCTATCATGTATGTATACTGTTTTGTGATTCAATCAATATGTTGAGTTTGATTGTTTTTCTTTTTCATATATATATATATATATTATGTATGGCGTAGTAGTTTTGAAATTGTTCCATGAGATTGATTTCACCTACGCGTTATTCATCACAATGTTGTCAGTTAATTTAAATTGAAAAAATGTATATTCTATACTTTGTACAATGTGGAAATATGGCTATACCACCAACTAGCATGTCGTAGTTATAAACTATCTATGCATATGATGTATTCACTGTACGATTAAATCGTGTGTGGTGTGAGCTACTTATAAGTAGTATATGACGTGAGTGTCAACGTAATGTCTGACAGCAGAAGATGAGGGAAGATCAAGAAAGGAAGAGTTAGAAAACAATGGAATTTGTATGAAACGCATGAATAGTGACAATGGATTGATGTTTGGCAACAGGAACAGTCCAGTTCGATATGATGAACTGATATTTTGCAAATGAACAATTTACGATATGGTTTTCCAATTTTACTGAGTAACTCTGTAATTTCGCTAAATACAATTCGGTTGCCCCACCTGTGTTCTCGTTCACTACACGTGAACCAAAATATGTTCACCAAATTTAAATATCAACTTAATGGGGGAAAGCTAAATATCGGAAGAAAAAAAAAGCAGCAATAGCAACATTTTATGGTTCATACTTGTCCACTTGCTATTTTTTATGATCATGTTAAAAGTACTAACTAAAAAAAAAGTTTTATGTTCATCTCGTGCATTTTCAACACTTTCATTATTGATTCATACCATCCTAGGTTTGTCTAAATATTTTATTGAAAGTAGTCATGCCTCTGAGTAGAAACGCTTAAAAAAGTAAAAACAATTTTTATGCTTAAGCTTCTTTTATAAGCATTTTTTTTACTTAGTACTGTTAGAAAATCGATTATATCGTTCTTTATAAATAACACTTGTGCATTTCTAACAGATAGGTCGTTTTTTAAATTTTCTTTTCTACTCTTCCTCCTCATTTCCCTTTTTGTTTGTACTATTGTTGCTTGTATGTTGTCAGTGTTTTTAATCTTCTCCCCCTCCCCCCCTCTCTCTCTCTCTATCTGTCTGTTCGATGAAAATTATCGATTCTATATTATGCGTGTGCTTTTTGTACATAATCCCATGAAAAAATACCTATTTATGATCAGGACAGTATGGATTATTGATTGTTTTAAAAGGATTAAGTTCAGTCAATTTACCTTTGTTAAATCACATTTGGCTTTGATTGGATTTTATTCTATTGGAAAAAACTCACGTAATATATATTTTTATGAGTGTATATATATAATTACCAAATAAACATGTAGTTCAATGATATCGCTGAACAAACTGTTTCAGTTAATCATCAACCTGTTTGGTTATGAAGCAATTGAATGATTCGATAGTTATAGAATTTACACTTGTGAACTGAACTTACCAGAAAGACTGCAGAATGATATCCAAAATACCTCACAAGTTGAAATCCTAGATTTCGTTAAGTTTTTCTCTATTTATGTGAAATAGTGAAATTGTAAAGTTATATTCTACTTGTGGTGTGCAACTCGAAATCGCCATTGCAGTTAATCCCCCAATGAGACGCGTATAAATTCTGTACCCAGCTAGCGTCTAACTAACTGTAATTTCCCAATTAAAGATATTTATCTAATTAATCAATAATCTTACATCAAAGACCGTTTCTATCTTACTGTGTTGTTAATTTTAAACTAGTAACGGACCAACGAATAATCTAATTACCCTCCTGACTAGTGTGTGTGTGTGTGTGAATTTGTTAGTTGCCTCATATTAATGAGTACCCTTTATTTATGAGAATTATCTTCAACTTTCTATATCGATCTTATGATACATCATAGTTTGAGCCTTTTGATATTCAAAACAATGTGTAGTGTAATTTTTTAAGTAAGCATTCACTTTTATTTTATCACTCCTAACCAAGACCTGATTTAAATTTTAATATGGTTATTCTTTTCAATTTCTTTATCTGTTTTTGCTAAAAATCATGAATCATATATATACACATATATATATTTCAATGACAAGACTTCATTTGCTGTCAACACTACAAATCTACCGTAATAATAATTGTGAAATTTTTGTAGTTGAGTTCGATAAAAAAAATAAGCACTCATTCACTGCACATCTTTACAATATTGTAGAGTCTGTCCACTAGTTTAACTCATCAGCTAGATGTACCTGCACCTAAGAATTGATGTTTACTCGGGGACTCGAACCTGATTTTAGTCCTAAACATCAATGGTGAGATTTGACCGATCAATACAAATGAATTCATCTTCACCCCTTTACACAAGCCATTAGTTGTTTGGACACAGTAGCTTAGTGATGGCGTTTAAAGTGAAAGGCACTGGGTTTGAGTCCCGGCTGAACAATAATTCTAAAATGCAGGTACGTCTTTTGGAAAAGTTTATTTACACGACACTTGCTAAATTAAACATCTTGTTTTTGAATTTTAGAAACTTATGCATGATATACATGAAAAAGAACTTATCTACAGTGAACTCAGTGTATTGGGCTCATCTATTCAACTGGAAAACTACGATGTAACTGATCTTGTACAGGTAAATATCACGTTTCAGTAGCGTTTTGGTTGTCGCTAAGATGTTAGTAGATTATTATTGATAATCGAGGAAATTACTGTCGTTTTTAATGAATTGACTACTTGGTTTTTCAATCACTAAGTCGTGGATTTTCATCCTACAATACTTATTTCAGTTTGATTAACCAGAAAGTATCAGTGGTTGCGATATAAACAGTTTAGCACACAGCTAAATATATATTAACTTCTACTTGGTAAAGGGATCGAATTTCAAAACTAAAAAAAAAAATACCAGATTACATTTTCCTATTTTATCTGATTTCTTCAATGTTTTTACGCATCAATCAATAATACATACTTTTTCTAAGATCTTTTTTAAGAATTTGTTTGTCTTTCTTTTTTTTGTGAAGAAAATGTGGTTTAGTTTTTTGTATACAAATTTTCACAGTTTTCTGTTTGGCTTATTTGCACGTATTGATTTTTGAGATAAGATTTCATGCATTAGAGTTTGTTTTCATTGGATGAGCATTAGTTGAACGAAATACAATTGTTGGAAATGCATTATAACTAGTAGAGAAGTTCACTAATATTAAATGGTTTCAAATAGCAATCTCTTTCTTCACTCCATACAGTTTAGAATAATATTACTAAAGTGTCAGGTATTGAAGAGCCGATCTTTAATGATAAGTTGAACATATCACTGATTAGTGTTCACTATTAGAAATCATTGATCGATACTAATAATGTGTTCCCTTTTTTCAATTCAATGCCTTGTTGTTGATTTCGATCGAATAATCACCTTTTTTTGCATCTTGTTTTCTATGTATCTAAAAATTTGTTCCCCTCTTATTCAAACGTTACAATTATTAAATAGTTTTAAAAATTTTTCATTAATTAACTGAAGAGTTTCATATTCAGCGATTGTACACTATTTGAATAGAGAAATGAGAAGACATATTTTGTGAGATAGTACCATTTCGTGCTTTCTCGTCAGTCACATACAAGCAACATGTTATTTGTGTGTTGGTCGGAAAAGTCCAACTTTATGTGTTCAAAAACAACTGTATGTTGACCTTTGTTTACCACCATGGTTCTAGTGAGTGAATGTCATGCTAGATAAGAAATTTTGACCTTATCTTCAAAACTGTATTTACACAAATAACATGTTGCTTGTATGTGACTGACGAGAAAGCACGAAATGGTACTATCTCTCTCACAAAATGTCTTCTCATTTCTCTATTCAAATTTATCAAAGCGAACCACTGTTTTGGATTGTACACTATATAAAATTGAAAGTGTACTATTTGAAAGAGTCTTAATTTGAAGACAAAACAAATAACTATTCAACATTTTCTTGTGTTTATAATGTGGCTTATTTTTTCACTAGTGATACTCGTTTCATTTAATATATAATGATAAACAGTATCTTTTTTCTACATTGTATGTAATAAGTTCATTATAGTTTTTTATACATGTAGTTATATTACTCATTCTCATTAAGTTAGTCAAAACAGAAAGTTATTAAATGAAACCATTTAGGAGTTTATAAGCTTGCTCATTATGACCTATGAGACGAACTAAAGCCTATTTTGTTAACTACTGTAGTGATTACAACTCTAGCTAGTTGTTCGATATCATTCGTTCTTTTCAAGCTATTTCCTCTGCTACTAAGGCTCTCTTTTTTAATTCCCTATGGTTGATATTAAGAACTACCTTTGAGCAGTCCCCGTTGAGATATCATGACAGTGGGAAATTACAAATCCATACTAATGCTCTCATATGCACTCGACAGCTTAGTGGGTGGTGACATGTCAACTTTTGAAATGATATGTGCTTACTTCAAGTTTCAACGTGATCAAAAACGTTTGGACGGTGATAAATGAAACATTGTACATTGGACAAAATGCATATCCTGTAACTCTACTCATAACCAACATCTTATATGTTCTATATGTTCAATATTTTGCTATCGAATAATTTTTAAATATTCTAAAATTCTACTACCTAGTTGTTCTATTGTGAAGAGAGATTTTAACATTCCACCTCCTACTTTTTTTTATTCATCATGTATTATACAGTATTTACGTTAAATTATCGTTCGATGGAAAGCGTGACTTATCTAAATTATCATTATTATTATTATTATCATTATACTATTTAATTATACACAATGACTAATTTTTCTTTAAAACATTTTATTTTTAGGCTTATTTAAATGCTTTAGAACGTCATTGGGCTTGGCTATTACAATTAACTTATTGTTTTGAAGCGCATATAGAACAGAGTGCACGATTCCAAAGTTTTTTCAATGATATTGAACAATGTGAATCACTACTAACTACATCATTGGAAGAATTACGTTCTCTGTATGAATTAACATTGAATGCAACTACAACTGAACAAGGTGAAACTCTTTTAAAACAATTACAAGTAAGTGCAAACCAGTAACGTTTGTTTTTATGAACCCTCTTGATCAATTGTTACACTGACACGATTTATTTTATCTTTAAACAAACTGATTGAAGTTTCCTTATTCTGTTGTTATGATGAGTATTTTTCTAAGTAGATTCTTTGATGGTGATAGACAGTCGTGTGCTGTTGCGGGTATGAGGGCGGTTATCACTTCCCGGCTGCCCACACCGTGGAAGGTTGTTTCTTGAGGGACCTGAAAAGGAAAATAGATTAGTGTTGGTCTCGGAGACCTGGTTGCGTGACCGCAGAGTCCAAGGGACAACTGCTTCAGGCCGGTCACGCACGGTCTTTTTATGAAACGTTTTTTGAGGATTAGCTCCGTTCTTAAAGGCCCTTAGTGGGCACCCTTACCGACGGAGACGGAAATCCTTGAGTTAGGGGAGGTGTGACATTTTTAGGGCTGACCTTTTCTAACCCTTCATTCCTTGTGAGAAGGCAGCATCGCTGCAGATGCTGGTTGTCCGAGGGAAACACCTTACTGCTGTCACACCCCTCTGCAGTCAGCAGTACGACTTCGCCCTCAGACCTTGGGTAGCTGCTTTTAGTCTCATCGTTCTCCAATCGACCTGCGTGGCATGGTAGGACCTGCAGGAACATGTGTTCCAGCCAATATAGCTCGTTTGGGTCATCACGATAGGCAAGCCCGACCACCACGTCATCAAATAATGAATTTGCTGCTTCCTTATATGGTCATTTTATTTTGAGAAAAAAAAATCTTCAAATAATTCCCAAAGCTTATAATCCGACAGTAGATTAAAGGTTTTTTTTTTCAAAACTAACCTCCAAATCATTGAAAATTATATATACGCCTTTTACCATTTACTCATATCTTCACATTTATACGTTGGCACTTTTTTTTTGCTGATTTTTTCATTATCTAAAATATCAATACAAACTTGAAGATTAAAGTGTTTTCTACATTTTAAACAATAAATACGATTAATCTTGACTGACACACTAACTAAATCAATCAATGAATAAACAGGTCATCAGTAACTTCTTTTTTTTTTCAATTCTTTCTCACTAATCGTTGTTATAACTTCAAATTGTACACAATTGTTAATCATTGATAGTATTTTTCATTGTTTAGTTAACAAAAGATATTGAAGTTAATTGATGTCAAGTGAAACAATTACATTGATTATTTGAATTCTATCATGTAAATTTGTGCAACAATTCAACATTGAATACTATCATTAAAACAATGTAACGTCACGAATTCATATACATAATTTTTTTTTAAATTCACTTAAAAAAATAAGATTATTATTTGAGTAGTACAATAATATTCATGTATTATTTATTTCGTTAAGTTCTTTCATCATTTGCTTACAATATGCTGTATTTAAAATTCAAACATAGAACTGATGTTTCGGCATATTTTTATTTATTGAAAGCAATTATACACAGAATTTGTTGTGAACAGAATAGTGTAGCAATCATCTAAATTACCTTGTGTTTTGTACGTTTGAATAAATTGTTGTTAATAAGTTATTTATATACACATTGTATAAATCTAATACAACATTGTTCATCAATATTAATTCATACTCCTCTTCTTGGATTTGTCATTGTGTATGCATTCGATGACTGGTTAGTCTAACTAATTTTGTATGATTGAAGATAACCAGCATGAGATATCCTAGGCCTGTTTGGCTACATTTCAGTATCACAGTTTAGAATAAACACTGTTCTTGGCTAGAAAAGCAGTAACAGCTAAGAAACACTGGATAACTGTTTCATCCTTCCATTAATACTCCTCCGCAACCCTACTGGGTGTCAAACCTAGGACTTTTAGGTTATATGTTTAGCATCTAGAAGTTTTGGTCTGTTTTCTAATGGCAAAAATCCCAACCTCGGTGAATTCTCAATATATCTCAATGACCACCGCTGCTAGATCAAGAAACAGAATAAAAGGGGGATACAATCAAAACAAAGGTGCAAACAACTACAGGTTTAAGGTCAACAGCAACCAATCAAGATCGAGGTTAGTAGAACAAGCTACAGGTGAAACGTGGAGAAATTCGAATACTTCACTTCCATCTGAAGTTTGTGCTGATGATGTTGTTCAGAAGAACAATGAAAGCTTCACAACCAAAATATCCAGCCCAGAGAACGAAACACCATCGCAATATCTAAATTCCATTAGTGTCAGCTTCTTCATCCCCGACAAGTTCGAACTCCACCAGTCATGACTTTCATTATTAAATGAATATTTATATTTGTTATTTCACTTATTGATTCAAATTTATATGTTCTTATCATATCGATTCTCTTTTGAAGTACTTTTTTATCAGGAATAGTTGAGTACGTTGAACAACCATATACATTTTTCATTATTGAATTAAGGACTGCAAATCACTTAAAACTGTGTTACAATACAGAAATCTTCAATAACTACTTGTCTTCTGTTATAACATCGATTTCGATAGTAAATTTTTAAAAATAACTTATTCCTAGAAAACTATTATTATTTCCACCAATCAAGTAGTTTCTTTTGTATGTTTAACAAATGATATAAATTTGTGTACAATTATCACATGAAGGTTTATATTACTACTACTACTCCTACTGAACTACTTACAGACCGATGTGAATGAAGTGGATGTGATCAGTTGTTGTAGAGAAATATTCAGGTCACCATCATCTCATATTATTTTAATTATAATGTATTGTACATTTGTTTGTTCCATGAAAATGATTCATAAGCATAGACTTTGTTTGTTGATTTGAAAATTGCAACTAAATTAGCATTTTCATCAGCTAAAAACGTTTTTCTTTGAGTCAATATAGAATGCACTGAATTGCTACACATAGATAATATCCAAATAATTTAATGTATATTAACTTTGCCGACATAAATTAGTTTCAAAAGTGAATACTTTTGTTGGTTTCAAATATATTATCAATTTAATTCAATTTGAAATGTTTTGGATTATTCAGTTGTTTATATTTTGACTAAAGTTTGATCAGTCTTATTATAATTATTATCCTATGCGAACGGAATCGATATAGCTATTATGATACAAAACAGATAAAATATGGTTACCAGTAGAATCCATAACGCGGTTTAGTCCAGTTTAAGGACTCGCCAGCTGAATGGACCTGCATCTCATGTTTATTCACTCCGGGACTCGGACCTGGTATGGTTCGTTTCAATAACAGGTTAATCCAAACCATTTATCTTGCACATCGCAACAGTGAGTGGCTATCTAGTATCAGCAGCTAAGTGGATAACTCGAAAGTGTTTGAAGCGAATAGTGCTAAGTTTGAGTCGTGGAGTGAACATCAGCTTTGAGATTCAGTTTCATCGTGCTGACGAATCCCAAATGGGACGAAACACGCACCGTGCATTCCACTGCTAGCCATATTCTATCTTTTCATACAATTGAACATCAAAATATTTATGCACCACACAAATTATTGAGTTTGTGAGTGCGCTGAGATATTGCCTAGATGTCCAAACCAAGACAGGTAGTATTCTCGGAGGGCCACACCCCGAGCCTTTTATCCAAAAGTCTAATCCAAGAAGCAAGGGAGCTACGTAAGGAGATGCGGCCTCGTGGTATCCGATGATCACCTGTAGGTTCATACGGGATTTATTACGTCAAGATCCTTAAGCACATGTTCACCATTAGTTTGGTATGGAGGTTTTCCAACTCCCCTAGATGGATCCTCCATACCCATCAACTCTGTAAACGCATCGGACACTCTCTTTTCTTACTCAAACAACACCGCGAGAAGGCAGTGAGTTGGGCTTCCTTGGCAATAGCTATATATGCATGGTCATATGAGAGTATTTTGAGGGAGAGAGTAGACTCTGTCTACTCTCGGGCGTACCGGGCTATATGAAAGCACGTCCTGTGAATTATGATGATTTAGGCAACTTATTTATTAGACGAAAAATAAGTTTAGACTTCCTGATTTGAAACAACAGGGTAAATTCTCCATGTTTAGATTATCTCAATCCTTCAAAAGAGGCTTGTTATTGTTTTTCAGCATCATTCACTTGGAGTGTAAGTGAATTCTAAGTCAGACTAAATTTTCTATAGAATGCTAATTTTTTTCCAAAAAATGATTTACTTCAACACTTTTTATAAATAATTTTTTATCACTGTTAATCCATTTTTCTGAGTTGTTTCTCTCTCTATCTCTCTCCTCTTACTTGACACTATTTCACAGGAACTTTATACTCGTGTAATCGGTCAAGAGTCTTTTATAGTTCAATTGGTAGACATAAGTCAAGAAATTGTTCCACCAATACCGAATCACGTAAATACACAAGACAATCAAACAACTTTGATTGGTCGACGTATACGTGTTCTATGCTCATTTCAACCTAAAGATTATTTGTTCGATAATCAATCCTATTCCGGTGATATGTCGATTGTTAATTCCATCAATACAAGTCATTTATCGATTTCTAACAACAGCAGTATTATAGAACCGATATTTTGGCCAACTGGTAACAATACAGGTTATTTTGATAAAGGCGATTTTGTCACAATATTGGAGAATCCAGAAAATCATAGGCTTCAAGTAAATTGATCGCATAATTTAATCTGATAACTCTTTTTTTTCTCCACAAGATAATATTTACATATTCTAATCGAATATTAATAATCATAAACCTTTTTAGCTTCACATATATCATAAAATGAGGACTATTCGACCAAAAACCTTGTTGGATGTAATTGTCCATACCTCTCGAGCTTAGTCTACCTCATGATTGCGGCGATCACTTGCCTATTATATTCATTTTCCACACTTAAAATGATTGATGATACATTTAGTATGTGTCTCTGTACGTGCTCAAGGTGCGAAAGTTGTGTTAAATACTCTCACTATGTTGATTTCATTTCGAAATACTATAATTCTTCCCAGTGTCGTCATAGTACATAGTTTTAATGTCTGTGTATATCCAATCTGATCGATCACTTGTTAAAAAAAATCAACTTATATGTCTTCAGTCAATTTACAGTTGCTTTTGTGACTGTAATTTTCGAAGCGTAAATGGCGATACGTTATTTAATAATGATAAGAGAATAAATGAATATGAAACTATTGACTACTGAAGTCGTGGATGTGCACTGCTGATAAGTCCCACACAAGGACGAAACGGACGTCCAGTGCTTCCAGGTTCCTAATGGTAGTCTAACAATGATTGATTGATGATTTCAATGTGTAAAAAGTGCTAATCTCCATAACTCGAATTGGAAAAAAACTTTACTATATTAATATTTGATTGTAGACACTTGTTAATAAATATTATCATATTTCTTATCGTTTTTGTTTTATTCTCATTATTTTCGATATAAAAAAACTGATCAAAGCTAATTGGTCTGTTTTTTTTCTTCTAAAAAGTATTGATATCAAACTTAATTCTCCCTTCTTTTCCTTTTCATGCTACATTATTCTTGACTCTGTTCTCCTTCTTTTTTTTCTCGCATTTCAATAGGTTCGTACAGCTAATGGATCTACGTTAACTGTTCCTTTGATATGTTTTCTACCTTGTTGGCCTTGTAATGAAGCAATGGATCGAGCTAAACGTATTATTACAACTTTACAACATTTTAAAACATATTGGTCTGAATTAAATTTACGATTACACGGTCATTTATTAACTGTCACAATGTCTAAATTTATGAGTGGTGAACCTATTCAATGTGATATTCCACAACAAATGGATATAAGAAAAGTGAGATAAATTATTTCATATGACATTATTTTTCATTTCCTTAATAAAATTTGGCACTTCATCATTTTTATTCATTATTTCTCTGATTTTATCGATTTGTTTTTGGTTGGTGGCTTGTTGAATACAGCATTTGAATTTCGACTCATTGTTTGCAGACTTGAACCCCGTCCTATCTACTTCAATTTTAACATTTTAAATATAATATCACTAGACCTTACGGAAAAAATATGGCCTTTAGCCGAGTAACTGGATTTGTACTTAATAAACAAGTTATATCTGTTATAAAAAAGCCACGTTGATCTTAAATTAATTAGACCTTTTCATCACCTTACCCAACTGTTGTATGGATGTGTCAGGAGGTCTGCTAAAAAAATTTTCAATTCATATCTTCTTCTCGACCTTTACTGTTACTTAATTGAATTGTATTCGCTTTTAGCTTGCTATTTGAACTCCTGTCAAAAATATGAAAGCTCTCTTGAAATCCCCGTTTTTTATCTTTGCTATTTGCATATGGATAATTGTCCAAGTGTCGTGTATTATTTGTCCAGATTATGTAGTTCATGAATATTCCGTCTTCAATTAACAGAATCGCTCAATCGTTTGAAGTCGGATAATACCGTGGGGCCATCTCATAATATACCGATTAATATGTCGCTTACTATATTTTTTTCTTATTGAATCTTCCATATTTTACAAAAAGCCTTTCACTCCGTTGTGGATAACATAAATAAAGTATTTTAAAATAATATCAATCTGTTGGATTTTTATTTCGTTCCCAAACTAGGTATGAAGACCAAAACCTACATTAAAAACTTCATTGGTTATTTAAGTCCACTGTGTGCGGTTATGAGGATCAGTTACAATTACTTTAATTGATCACTGAGTTATGGTCAGTGTTAAGCATTTATCAATTCTAGTCCTTATTGCTTATCGGATTCTACCAAGTTGTGATGTAGTCACTGTTCTCATTGACCCACCATCACGTGTAATATGTTCTGATGTTACTTTGCTGAGTTAGGCAAACATGATCATCACTCACCGATGAATATATGCGAATATCTCACTTCTATAGGAGGTCAGCCGCTGCTTGAATGGCACAATGATCACGTTTCATTATGTGAAACTGGTTGACTGAGGTTCGAATTTCGTAGGGAGTATCAGTTCCCCCTAAAATTCCAAGTACTTTTTACTGACGAATACCTACTAGTGTGAAATCTGTATTCCTACCTACTCCCTCCAACCACCTAACATTGGTGGGTGTTATTAGTTCTTCCAATAATTATTAGCACCATTTACCTAAGTATAATTTGATCGGATTGGTTTTTTTGCCTATCATGGTCTCTGTTTTATATTCGTTATTATATCACTGAGTTAATTGAAAAAAAGGAGTTTGATCGAATTGCTTTCCCATCATTTTCGATTATTGAAATGCTATTTGATTAGTGGGTGGGTTTGTTGTAACATTGATCGATGTTTAAATTGATCAATGAGAAGAACTGTATGGTAAATGTTTGCTTGTGTATTCTGATTATAAGTCTGTTTTACAAACGTAAGTACTTTTATCATGTTGGTTGGTAAGCGAAAAAGTAATTAATCATTTAAATCCATTTTTTTCAATTCACGGAAAATTTTGTATCCACTTTAATTTGTTTCATTGCTCAAAGTTTTTTTCCATGGCAAATTAGGCCAATGCTATGTGTGTGTATATTAGTCTTAAGTAGAATTAATAATTATCATAGCAGAAAAATACTTCACTTTTACTGTTGCTGCTCATTTTTTCGAATTAGAACCAATTTCTACAAAGCCCATATGTGGCAACAATCATCTTGCCTTTACTAGTGAGTAATTTCGTGTTCCTGGAGTTTTAATGAGAAGCTACAACTAATGGAATTGAACCGTACTGCATATCAGGCAACTACCCACCATCTACATTGGAAGACATTTGCACAATATGGTCAATTAATTGAAATTAGATACGTACACCACTCGATTACGGTTCATTGATCTTAAGGTGCAGCGTTCACCATGAGATTTGAGGGTTCCGGGTTCGATCCTATTTTAAGGTCATGAATATGCACCGCTAAAGAGTCCTATATTAGCGATACACATCTGTCCATCGCTCTCTAGATATCCATAGTTGTTTAACTGAAATCAGTCGATGATGTTCACAATAAATTGGGCATATTGAAAACATATACATATGTAAATGGTTTACTTCAATAAACATCATTTGTTTAAGATTAACAGTGTAAGAACAAAATTTTTTACTGCTGATCATTTAAAGTACTTTAGAGGAAAAATAATTTTTAAAAATGTATCTGTATGCTAACCTACCTAAAAGTCATGACTTTGATTCCGTGCAAATCATTGTAGAATCAATCCCAAAATGAAGACAGCATCAGCTATGATATGCTGTCCTTGTTATCAGTAATTCGTTGATTGATAAACGCTACCTTCAAAAAAAAATGATTATGTTCATTTCAAATAAGGATATTTTTGTTTCAATAAAATGGTAATTTTTTTCTCAATTAAGTAAATTTATTGGAATTACACAGTTTCACAGGGTGAAATAAAGAATTATGTAAATTAGACGTTTCAGAACTATCAATTGTGCAACTGAATGATTTTTAAAAATTAATTTGACTTCAAGTCACTGGATCTTTTTTGTTGGTAACCTTTCACACTTCAGCATCATTGTATTTCTTGTTAATGAAAGGACTCGTTGTAATTTACATCCATTTTTATTGATTGCCTTATTTCATATAATGTAATAAGGCAATCAATAAAAATGGATGTTGTAATTACAACGAGTCCTTTCATTAACAAGAAATACAATGATGCTGAAGTGTGAAAGGTTACCAACAAAAAAGATCCAGTGACTTGAAGTCAAATTAATTTTTAAAAATCATTCAGTTGCACAATTGATAGTTCTGAAACGTCTAATTTACATAATTCTTTATTTCACCCTGTGAAACTGTGTAATTCCAATAAATTTACTTAATTGAGAAAAAAATTACCATTTTATTGAAACAAAAATATCCTTATTTGAAATGAACATAATCATTTTTTTTTTGAAGGTAGCGTTTATCAATCAACGAATTACTGATAACAAGGACAGCATATCATAGCTGATGCTGTCTTCATTTTGGGATTGATTCTACAATGATTTGCACGGAATCAAAGTCATGACTTTGAGGTAGGTTCGGATACAGATACATTTTTAAAAATTATTTTTCCTCTAAAGTACTTTAAATGATCAGCAGTAAAAAATTTTGTTCTTACACTGTTAATCTTAAACAAATGATGTTTATTGAAGTAAACCATTTACATATGTATATGTTTTCAATATGCCCAATTTATTGTGAACATCATCGACTGATTTCAGTTAAACAACTATGGATATCTAGAGAGCGATGGACAGATGTGTATCGCTAATATAGGACTCTTTAGCGGTGCATATTCATGACCTTAAAATAGGATCGAACACGGAACCCTCAAATCTCATGGTGATCGCTGCACCTTAAGATCAATGAGCCGTAATCGAGTGGTGTACGTATCTAATTTCAATAATTAATTGACCATATTGTGCAAATGTCTTCCAATGTAGATGGTGGGTAGTTGCCTGATATGCAGTACAGTACGGTTCAATTCCATTAGTTGTAGCTTCTCATTAAAACTCCAGGAACACGAAATTACTCACTAGTAAAGGCAAGATGATTGTTGCCACATATGGGCTTTGTAGAAATTGGTTCTAATTCGAAAAAATGAGCAGCAACAGTAAAAGTGAAGTATTTTTCTGCTATGATAATTATTAATTCTACTTAAGACTAATATACACACACATAGCATTGGCCTAATTTGCCATGGAAAAAAACTTTGAGCAATGAAACAAATTAAAGTGGATACAAAATTTTCCGTGAATTGAAAAAAATGGATTTAAATGATTAATTACTTTTTCGCTTACCAACCAACATGATAAAAGTACTTACGTTTGTAAAACAGACTTATAATCAGAATACACAAGCAAACATTTACCATACAGTTCTTCTCATTGATCAATTTAAACATCGATCAATGTTACAACAAACCCACCCACTAATCAAATAGCATTTCAATAATCGAAAATGATGGGAAAGCAATTCGATCAAACTCCTTTTTTTCAATTAACTCAGTGATATAATAACGAATATAAAACAGAGACCATGATAGGCAAAAAAACCAATCCGATCAAATTATACTTAGGTAAATGGTGCTAATAATTATTGGAAGAACTAATAACACCCACCAATGTTAGGTGGTTGGAGGGAGTAGGTAGGAATACAGATTTCACACTAGTAGGTATTCGTCAGTAAAAAGTACTTGGAATTTTAGGGGGAACTGATACTCCCTACGAAATTCGAACCTCAGTCAACCAGTTTCACATAATGAAACGTGATCATTGTGCCATTCAAGCAGCGGCTGACCTCCTATAGAAGTGAGATATTCGCATATATTCATCGGTGAGTGATGATCATGTTTGCCTAACTCAGCAAAGTAACATCAGAACATATTATACGTGATGGTGGGTCAATGAGAACATTGACTACAATCACAACTTGGTAGATATCCGATAAGCAATAAGGGATAAGAATTGATAAATGCATTAACACTTGACCATAACTCAGTGATCAATTAAAAGTAATTGTAAACTGATCCTCATAACCGCACACAGTGGACTTAAATAACCAATGAAGTTTTTAATGTAGGGTTTGGTCTTCATACCTAGTTTGGGGAACGAAATAAAATCCAACAGATTGATATTATTTTAAAATACTTTATTTATGTTATCCACAACGGAGTGAAAGGCTTTTTGTAAAATATGGGAAGATTCAATAAGAAAAAAATATAGTAAGCGACATATTAATCGGTATATTATGAGATGGCCCCAAGGTATTATCCGACTTCAAAACGATTGAGCGATTCTGTTAATTGAAGACGGAATATTCATGAACTACATAATC